CAATATCCCTGTGGTGGGAAGAACATCAACAGCCCAACACTGTGGCATTTAATTTCAAAAGGGAGAACTATGCAAAAAAGAGGGGGTTAGTTAAACAGAAGTTAAAAAGTACAGTGACTAAAGTGAAATCCCTGCAAGCTGCATGTGTGCTTTTTAAAGAGACCATAATAGAGGCCCAACTTCAATGTATACCCCAAATTAAGAAACACAGTAAAAGAACTAAAAAAGAGCCACCGTGGCTTAACAACCATGTAAAAGAAGCAGTGAGAGATAAAAAGACTTCCTTTAAAAAGTGGAAGTCTGCAGTGGTGACGACGCAGGAAAGGAAACAGAACGCCAGGTTTGTTGGTAGCCAGAGGGCTTTACAAGCCTCCTGCAAAAAGCCTCAAGCCAAAAGCCTCTCAGGAAAACTTTTCCTGGGGTTTTTATTTCTCTCCTTACTTTGTTTACAACTCTTCTTAGTGGTTACATCTTTGCCCATTCAGAAGGCAGGCAGGATACACGCAGTGTGCAATTATACAAGATAGCAAACTCATCTATTAAGCGCGTGAACAGCCAGCTGCAAAGGTACTATCAGGCTAGCCAATATGTTTTCCAAACATAGGCGCTAGAACAAGGTCACTCCCGCCTCAATTCCGAGGGAACAGTTTGCCGTTCTTCAAGGCTTATGATTAGGGAGCAACACATTCCTACAGAAGTCAAATCCTAGTGAGGCAAATAGAAAGGAGCATAAACACTGCCAAATTAAGTGCAAGAATGTAATAAGAAAAGCCAAAGAGGAGTTTGAAGAACAGCTAGCCAAAAACTCCAAAGGTAATAACAAAATGTTTAAGTACATCAGAAGCAGGAAGCCTGCTAAACAACCAGTGGGGCCCCTTGATGATCGAGATACAAAAGGAGCGCTTAAAGACGATAAAGTCATTGCGGAGAAACTAAATGGATTCTTTGCTTCAGTCTTCATGGCTGAGGATGTTAGGGAGATTCCGAAACCTGAGCCGGCTTTTGTAGGAGACAAATCTGAGGAACTGTCACAGATTGAGTGTCACTAGAGGAGGTTTTGGAATTAATTGATAAACTTAACATTAACAAGTCACCGGGACCAGATGGCATTCACCCAAAAGTTCGGAAAGAACTCAAATGTGAAGTTGAGGAAATATTAACTAAGGTTTGTAACCTGTCCCTTAAATCGGCTTCTGTACCCAATGACTGGAAGTTAGCTAATGTAACACCAATATTTAAAAAGGGCTCTAGAGGTGATCCCGGCAATTACAGATGGGTAAGTATAACGTCGGTACCGGGCAAATTAGTCGAAACAATAGTTAAGAATAAAATTGTCAGACACATAGAAAAACAAACTGTTGAGCAATAGTCGACATGGTTTCTGTAAAGGGAAATCGTGTTTTACTAATCTATTAGAGTTCTTTGAAGGGGTCAAACAACATGTGGACAAGGGGGATCCAGTGGACATAGTGTACTTAGATTTCCAGAAAGCCTTTGACAAGGTCCCTCACCAAAGGCTCTTACGTAAATTAAGCTGTCATGGGATAAAAGGGAAGGTCCTTTCATGGATTGAGAATTGGTTAAAAGACAGGGAACAAAGAGTAGGAATTAATGGTAAATTCTCAGAATGGAAAGGGGTAACTAGTGGTGTTCCCCAAGGGTCAGTCCTCGGACCAATCCTATTCAACTTATTCATAAATGATCTGGAGAAAGGGGTAAACAGTGAGGTGGCAAAGTTTGCAGATGATACTAAACTGCTCAAGATAGTTAAGACCAAAGCAGACTGTGACGAACTTCAAAAAGATCTTACAAAACTAAGTGGTTGGGCAACAAAATGGCAAATAAAATTTAATGTGGATAAATGTAAAGTAATGCACATTGGAAAAAATAACCCCAACTATACATACTATATGATGAGGGCTAATTTAGCTACAAGTCAGGACAAAGATCTTGGAGTCATCGTGGATAGTTCTCTGAAGATGTCCACGCAGCATGTAGAGGCGGTCAAAAAAGCAAACAGGAAGTTAGGAATCATTAAAGAGGGGATAGAGAATAAGACTGAGAATATATTATTGCCCTTATATAAATCGATGGTATGCCCACATCTTGAATATTGCATACAGATGTGGTCTCATCTCAAAAAAGATATACTGGCACTAGAAAAGGTTCAGAAAAGGGCAACTAAAATGATTAGGGGTTTGGAACGGGTCCCATATGAGGAGAGATTAAAGAGGCTAGGACTCTTCAGCTTGGAAAAGAGGAGACTAAGGGGGGATATGATAGAGGTATATAAAATCATGAGTGATGTGGAGAAAGTGGATAAGGAAAAGTTATTTACTTATTCCCATAATACAAGAACTAGGGGTCACCAAATGAAATTAATAGGCAGCAGGTTTAAAACAAATACAAGGAAGTTCTTCTTCACGCAGCGCACAGTCAACTTGTGGAACTCCTTACCTGAGGAGGTTGTGAAGGCTAGGACTATAACAGCGTTTAAAAGAGAACTGGATAAATTCATGGTGGTTAAGTCCATTAATGGCTATTAGCCAGGATGCGTAAGGAATGGTGTTCCTAGCCTCTATTTGTCAGAGGATGGAGATGGATGGTAGGAGAGAGATCACTTGATCATTGCCTGTTAGGTCCACTCCCTCTGGGGCACCTGGCATTGGCCACTGTAGGTAGACAGGATACTGGGCTAGATGGACCTTTGGTCTGACCTGGTACAGCCGTTCTTATGTTCTTATGGTTAAAGAGGGACCGGTTCTTCAACCCAAAAAGCATGAGTCTGAGGAAGTTCAGCACCCTAGGAATGCATTCCCAATGTCTGCCCAAGTCCTGCCCCCAGAGAGATGGGCAGTACTGTGTGGGTTATGATGCCAGGTATAGTGGTGTGGTGCTGGGCTGAATAGGGGTCTACTTATTCTATGCCACCCTTACTTCTCCACTGCTGCTGGCGGCGGTACTGCATTCAGAGCCAGGTTCCCGGCCTGCACCTGCTGCTCTCTGCCCTCCCTTCAGAACTGGGCAGCTGGAGGGGCACAAACTACTACAGACATAGATACATTTGAGAACCACTGGTTTAAAATATAGAAAGGTCACAACAAAAAACTTCAATGGTCTCAAACTTGCACTTGAATACAAAACCTTAACAGTGACCTCCTCTGCTTTTGTATCAATAGATCAGCATCTTCTTGTTACACATTCCATGCACTTGGGATGTTCTTCTGCCTTAACGCTGCTGAGATCATTATGTCAACCCTTGTGAAGAGTGTGAGACTGTAACACGATGCAGTCAGTTCTTTGTGTGTATATCTTATTCTCATTTAAAAGTTAATGTTGTAGTTATGTTCCTGAAAAATGCGACTTTAAGCAAAACGATGTTAAGTGAATCCAATTTCCCCATAGGAATTAATGTAAATTAATGTAAATGGGTGGGTTAGGTTTCAGGGAATTTTTTTTCATCAGACAAAAGACTATATATATATATATATATATATATATAAGTTTTAACAGTATAAGTTTTAAACAAACAATTTAATACTGGCACACAGCGATGATGATTGTGAAGCTTGGTTGAGGTGGTGAAGTCAGAGGGTGGGATATTTCCCAGGGAATGCCTTACTGCTAAATGATGAACTAGCAATCAGCTGAATCCTCATGGGTTAACCCATTGTTGTTAATGTAGTCTCACACTCTACAAGGCAGCACGAATGGAGGGAGGGGAGACAGCATGGCAGACAGACACAGAGACACACACCGTGTGTGTGAGAGATGCGCATTGCCCCTTTAAGTACACTGACTGCAATCTAAGTACACTGCCTTGTTAAGTAGATCCGCAAGTTGAGACAGTAGCTGCTGCCAGGAAGCTTCCTCCGTCCTGAGCCCTGTCATGTCTCCCCCCACCCCTGCTCTATGGAGATATGGGGTAAGCGGGGTGCAGGAGCAGTGGGGAGGGGGACACCCTGACATTAGCCCCCCTTCATCCTCCCCCGCACAGTCAGCAGGAGACTCTGGGGAGCAGCTCCAAGGCAGAGGGCAGGAGCAGCACAGGGCAGTGGGGGGAGGGACAGCTGAACTGCCGGCAATTGATAGCCTGCTGGGCGGCTGCCACACAGGGAATTTAGGGGAATGGGGAGCTGATAGGGGAGCTGCCAGTCCACCCTGGTTCCAAGCCCCACCAGCTAGCTTCAACGGGCTGCTCTTCCTGCAAGCAGTGGACAAAGCAGGCAGATACAAAATGATGTTATAAAGGAGCATTGCACAACTTTAAAAAAGCATGTTCTCTAATTGATCAGCAATGTAACAATGAAACAGCGTTAACTGGGACAACTTTAAGTGAGGAGTTACTGTACATGAAGGACAATGCTCCATGTTCAGCAGTGACACATCTCCTGGCAGATGGAGGGAACCTTCACCAAGGGGTCTGTGTGATCAATAACTTCCAAAATCACTCCATTGACTCTCTTGTAGACTTCTGTAAACTGAATAGCTCTAGATGCTGTGGAAGCAGCATGGCACGTGCCTGTATTCCAGTAGCAGGTCTGCCCATTGTAGTTGGGGAGGGGGAAACACTTTCACTGACATAAAAGGGAACACAAAATATTGAGCCAAGTTCTCATGCAGAGTGGATCTCAACTCAGGTTTCTGCTCTACCTGCATGTATGCAGAGGATCTCTTTGTCCTCTGTTGCTATAGTAGATAATGATGAACTGTAACAATTAACATAAAATAGTTAATTACATGTTGCTTTAACTTCCCATCCAAGATGCATTATAATACAGACACACACAATGCAGTCACTATATAGTACTTCTTAACAACTGCTTTCACCAACATACAGAATTTTTTAAAAATTTATTTAGTTAGGCAAATAGCCTTCCAGACTCAAGAACAAAGAGCCTGATCACTTTCATACATTTTAAAACACAGACACTTATAAAATATAGTTCAAAGCTCACTAAAGCTGCTTCCACACTGAGCCTAGTTCAAAGGCACATTACCTGCAACGAATGGGCAGCCTTTACCCAGGATCTCCAAGAAGAAACAGATCAGCATCTGTGAAAGGAAAACTGTTTAACCATCTAGTGACTTTAAAACTGGAATCCAAACATTAAAGAAACCACAGTAACTTCCAAGAAAGAAAGACAATTCTATTTTTCTGTGATATACAGGAGGTGGTTTACACCCTGATCCTCAAAGATTTTAAGGTGCCTAACTGCCATTGATTGATGATATCTTTGAGGATCTGGGCCTTAAATACTCATCCATAACAGTAAAAGGCTAGACTAGGGCAGGGACACAACTACAAGAGATCTAACTCAATTGCTGAAAAGTCCTTCTCTCCTACTTGTTGTTTGAATATACTGCTCTAGAGGCTACTGTCTGCTTTGGTTTCTTAAGCTCATTTTACCAAGGTAAAGGCAAGTCTCCAAGATAATCGTCTGATCCAAGAAACCAAAGTATAATGACACACAAAAAGTAGCAGCAATTGTAACATGAAGCCAGATCCTTAGCTTGGGTAAAACTGTTGCAGCTCCATTGAAGCAACACTAGTTTACTTCAGCTAAGTAGTTAGCTGAAGATCAATATGTAGACCAGTGGAGAAGACACAACACCTCCAGAACTAAGCTTACCAGCAGGATGAAAATTCGGAAGCACTGACTCCTGCCTGGAAATCAATTAACCTGAGGTACTTCACATGTTTGTATTGGACACCCAATGTGTTTGTTCTTGGTTACAAATGTTTGTTCTTTAACTTATGTATCAGCACATGAAAGACACCTGCTAGGTCACATATAGTTTGTTCCCTAGGGGCCATTGCAGGAAGTTTTCTAGTGCTTCATCCAGCCTAGTTTTAGTGTTTTCAAATATTTAGAAATGGGCAGAAGTGCTATTTTGGCTTGTGTTTTTTAAGAAACGAGGAGGCAGTTAAAACAGCAGCATGCCACTAATAATGGCTCATCTACACATGGAGCTACACTGGAATGCTTTAAATTTAAAACTTACCTTATCCTAGAATAATTTTCATGTGTCAAGATGCCCAACTGAACCTCAGTAACCATGTTATCATTACTCTCTCCCACTTCCCTCGTTCTTTGTTGATATACTCATTTGCTGCATCTTGTCTCAAAGCTAGATCCTGCAGATACATACACCCCCACTAACCTTACTCACATAGTCCTATTAACTTCCAGTTGGGCTGCTCACATGAGTAAAGTTACTCACACAGACCTTTGCAGGATGTAGGCTCTTCAAGGTAAGAGACTATGACAACTGCACAGTGCCTAGCACAATGGGGTCTGACCCCGATCAAAGCCTTTGGGGGCTACCATAATATTTGTGATCAGAACTCAATACACATTCATTGTTAGTCACTGAATTTAGCATTTCCTACTGCACTCCTTCATCTAGAAGTGCATATGGAATCCTGTGGGCCCTGTTAACAATGAAAAAGATCCCAAGACAACTTGGGTTATAACTTGTGATGCCAATCAGTAGGTAGTGAGTGTTACATTTCAGTACCCTTCTAAATATGCTTATGCTATCCAGATTCATAGCAGTCTGTAAAAATAACAGGAGTACTTGTGGCACCTTAGAGACTAACAAATTTATTAGAGCATAAGCTTTCGTGGGCTACAACTCACTTCTTTGGATGCATATAGAGTGAAATATATTGAGGAGATATATATACACACATACAGAGAGCATGAACAGGTGGGAGTTGTCTTACCAACTCTGAGAGGCATCCGAAGAAGTGGGTTGTAGCCCACGAAAGCTTATGCTCTAATAAATTTGTTAGTCTCTAAGGTGCCACAAGTACTCCTGTTATTTTTGCGGATACAGACTAACACGGCTGCTACTCTGATAGCAGTCTGTGACTCCTGGGGACTGGCTCCTGGATCTCCTTGGGAGGGGCGGGGAACAAAGGGTGTTCCAATTCAATATTGGGAGAGAAAACAGGAATATAAAGCTATAATTTCTCTGTCTATACCCCAAGAGGCTTGAGAGAACCACTGCAGGGTCCCAGGGGAAGGGACTGCTTTGCAGACACGCACCCCTGTCCTGTCCCCAGTTTAACTAAAAACATTTCCCATCCCCTGGGGCGCCTTCTGCAGATAAAGGCTTCTTCTGTGAACTCTCCCTGATGCACCCCTCTGCTCCAAGCCTGGCTCACACACCGAGCCGCGTCAACCTGGAGAGTCCAGAAAGCTGTACACACCCTAACATGGGGGCTCCCGCAGGCTGCGCTGCTGGGTGTGTTGCGGGGAGAAGGGAAGCTGTGGTTTTTGCGTCTGACTGCCCAGTGCTGGCCACACCCTTAAGCCGCCTGCGCCTGCCAGGGATCGGGTGCACCCCCAGGTCAGGGGGAACCCGCAGAAGGGTCGCTGGGGCAGATCATTGTGAAAGGGCCGGAAGCTCGGCCCGCAGAGGGAAGCGCTCAGGGCAGATTTCCTCTCCCCGTTGTTCTGGGGAGCGCGGGTCTCCTGCACGGCCGGGGGCAGGAGAAGAAAAGCACCAAAGAAACTTTCCTAATAACCCTCTTCCCAGCGCTGGTCCCCACCATGCGATGGGTGGGGCGGGGCATAAAATATCATAGCGGGGTGCAAAGTCCCAGCTCGGGACGGGGTGACCGACTAAGAGTGAAACCGAAAGTTAAAGACACGCCCACCAAACAGCTGGCAGCCGGGGCAGGAAGGTGCCAAATCGCCAACAGCTGATCCGAAGCTAAATTGTAAATGGAGCAACATACACTTACCTCAGCTAATAGCAACCCTAGGGCAGGGCCCAGGGCTGCTAAAGACACTGGTGAATCATTTCCGCTGCTTACCCTCCCCGACAGCGCCTTGCTCTATAGTCCCAGCTCCTCCCCAGGGCAGGTCTACATTAACCCCAGCCCATCAGATCAGGTTTCAGAAGGGTAGCCCTGTTAGTCTGTATCCACAAAAACAATGAGGAGTCCAGTGGCACCTTAAAGACTAACAAATTTATTTGGCATAAGCTTTGGTGGGTTAAAAACCCACTTCTTCAGATGCATGGAGTGAAAATTACAGATACAGGCATAGATATACTAGCACATGAAGAGAAGGGAGTTACCTTCCAAGTGGAGAACCAGTGTGGACAAGGCCAATTCAGTCAGGGTGAATGTGGTCCACTCCGAATAATTGATGAGGAGGTGTCAATACCAAGAGAGGGTAATCAATTATTGGGAGTGGACCACATCCACCAGACTCCTCATTGTTCCTATCAGATCAGTATATCTTCAGCACTCGGGGTGGGGAGGGGGGATTTTTCACACCCCTGAGTGGGGCAGTTAAACCCATGTAAGACCAGTTATACACTACATACTTCGGTATAACTACATCACTCAAGGGTGTGAAAAATCCAGCCCTGCCTCCATGACGTAGTTATACCGACCTTAACCCCCGTGTAGATATAACTACCGCCTCTCGCCAAGGTGGAGTAACTAAGCCAACGGCATAGCTCTCTCCCATCGGCTTAGAGCATCTTGACCAGAGGCACTACAGTGACACAGCTGCATTGGTGCAGCAGCTCTGATGCAAGTTTGTAGTGTAGCCCTGCTCTAAGTTTATAGTGTAGACCTGGCCCGGGAGTTAGGCAGTAACTGCATGGCTTACTGGTGTCAATGCCCCTAAGTGATGTACCTATACTGGCATACATTTGTAGCATAGGGCCAGCTCTACACTATAAACATACATTGGTACAACTACCTCGCTCGGGGTGTGAAAAATCCAAGCCCCAGAACAACTTAGTTATACCTAGAGCCCTGCAAATCTGCAGATATCTGCGGATATCCACAGATGCAGATATCCGTGGACCATGTTTGCGGATCATGGATGTATGTGGATCCAAATTTTATATCTAGAGCCCTGCAAATCTGCAGATATCCGCTTTATATATATGTTGGCAGATCGCAGATCGGATGCGGATACAAGTTTTGTATCTGTACAGGACTCGTGTAGACATGACTGTGTCTGCAGTAGAGCTTCTCCCATCAACATAGTTACTACCTCCTGTAGACTTTATAAACCACCAAGTGTATAAGCATTGGCATCATAAAATCTCAATAAATAATATCTAAGGGTAGTTTAAAATATTGTTTATTTTGTTTTTAAAAATGAGCTCTCCTACCTTACGAGTTTGGGTTGGAAAAAAAATTGGAAGGGAAAGTAATAGAAAAAAAATCAACCCACCAAAAAAGAAGGCAAAAAAAAAAGATATTGAACTATTTTGAGGCAATTTATTCAGTACCGATACTACGTGCCTCACAATGAAACCAAAACAGTTAAGAAGCATTTGGAATATTAGCCTGTAGGGTAAGACTGGGGTAGTCCAATGACACAAGAAAACAAAGGCAGACACACAGGACTCATGAAAGAAGTAAATGGACTCCTACTGAAGAGGGCAAGCAGAAGTGTGTCAAAGACTCTGTAAAGGAGAAAAGGAAGACACTGTTGTATTTCTATGAAACCACTACACAGAAACCAACAGTACTTTTGTATGGGCCTGATCCAACACCAACTGCAGTCAATGGAAAGACTCCAGTTGACTCCAAGAGGCATTTAGATCAGGTCCAATGTGAACAGAGTGTGATTCTGGTGATTTTGGTATCCCATTATTATATTGTGCTTAGATTTGTAAAATAAATAATGAACAAAAAGCTTATTTCTCTATGATAATTTAGGTAATTAAAGAGATAATTAAAATCAAGTGTTACAACATACTGCCAAGAGTTGGCTTCATCCAAAACCAATTCTTCAAAGACTTCTGAATTGTTTCAATATCGCTGCACAAAAAGCATAAAACAAGGTTCCCAGTCTGTTCCGTACATTATAACACACTTTCACATCCAGCCTGCCATAATCAAAAGCCTGGGGAAACAGGTGGCTCTTTGATCTTACTGCATGTGCCTGTCTGAAAGTGCTTGTGTTAGTGCTCACACCCACTTTCAAGGTGAAAGATGAAGAAATTCTATTAACTAAGCCAGACCCTAACTGTGCCCACTGATATTTATGTGTAATTACCATTGAAATGTTCATGGTGCCAACATAGAGCAGGATCAGTGCAGATAAAGAAGTAATGCCATGCTTCACTGTCCAATGGGAAAAGGGACGGTGGATTTGGGTGGCAAAGGGGTATCTGGCATCCAGAACTGAACATAGTGTGTGGAGCAGAAATGATTGTGAGGCATCCAGGACTTTTGAGTCTGTGCCCTAACACTAGTTGATTTGGACATGCCATTTCTGATATATGAGAATTGGATACATGCTTTTTTTGCCATATATAACTCAGGAATGGTTTGGACTTGACACTGGAAATGTATTCGGAACAGGACCAGTTTTATATGTGAGTTTTGGGGCTGTCTATTTTGGAGGCTAATTGCTGAATTAGGAATGTCTCAACAATCCATTGGGCTTGACAAGCTCCTGCACTGGGCAAGCTAATGATTCAGTTCTATAAGGTGCAGAATGCTGATGAGTAATTCTTTTGACCTCAATGAGACTTACTCATGTGCTTAAAGTAAATTGACTGGACTACTCATGGGCTTAAAGTTAAGCATGTGCATAATGCTTTGCTGAACTGGCGCCCAAGTCAGGAGCAACTCCACTGAACTCATTAGAGTTACACTGGTGTAAATGAAGGCACCTTAAATACCTTTGATTTTGAAGATCTGGGCTTTAGTGTCTCAGGCTAATGCCCACTGATTTCAGTGGGAGTTAGGCACCTAAATACTTTTGGGGCTATAAAATCATGATGGGTGTGGAGAAAGTAAATAAGGAAGTGTTATTTACTTTTTCTCCTAACATAAGAACAAGGGGTCACCAAATGAAATTAATAGATATCAAGTTTAAAACAAACCAAAGGAAATTTTTCTTCACACAATGCACAGTAACCTCTGGAACTCTGCCAGAGGATGTTGTGAAGGCCAAGACTATAACAGGGTTAAAAAAAGAGCTAGATAAATTCATGAGGATAGGCTATTAACCTCTGACTGCCAGAAGTTGGGAATGGGTGACAGGAGATGGATCACTTGATGATTAACTGTTCTTATTCCCTCTGAAGCACTTGGCATTGGCCACTGTTGGAAGACAGGATGCTGGGCTAGATGGACCTTTGGTCTGACCCAGTATGGTTGTTCTTATGTTTTGAGCCTCTGTGCCTCCGTTCCCCCTTTGTAAAATGGGGATAATGGTACTTCCCCGCCTGCGAGAGTTGTTGCGAGGATAAAGATGTTAAAGTCTGAGAGGTGCTCAGATGCTATAACATAGGGGCCCTATAGGTGCCTGAGCTAAATGTCTGCAGACAGCCTGAAAGAAAACCCTTCCCTCATTCAGCTAAGAGGGTTTCTAACCTAGAAGCCGGATGCTAATGGTTTAAATGTCAGATTGATCACTATTTTACTGCTGATTAAAGCACACAAGAAAGAAGGACGATCCTGTTGTGAGGAGCTGCACCAGCTTCTAGATGTGATCTCTCATTTTGCTATCATGACTGGGTAGCTCTTGGTTTAAGGGTGGAGTGGGGTAGAGTACTGCCACTTTTTTTCCTATTGGACTCCTGGGTCCAGGATGCCAGCAGGGAGGAACAGAGCCTAGGGGTCATCTAAGCATCACTAAGGCAGCGCAAAGCCTGAGGATTCCAGAAGAGCATCCTAACCCCAGCAATAATCTCCCTGTGTGTCTGCACAGTACCCAGGGCCGGCTCCAGGCACCAGCGCAGCAAGCAGGTGCTTGGGGTAGCCAACGGAAAGGGGCGGCACGTCCGGGTCTTCGGTGGCAATTCGGCGGTGGGTCCCTCGGAGGGAAGGGCCTGCCACTGAATTGCTGCCAAAGAATGAAGCAGCGGCGGTATAGCCGCCGCCGAAGTGCCACCGATCGTGGCTTTTTTTTTTCCCGCCGCTTGGGGTGGCAAAAACACTGGAGCCAGCCCTGACAGTACCTAGAACAACAGGTGCCTGATGCAACTGGGGACCTCTGGATGGAACCTCAGCACCTGTTTAATGAGGTACAGGGAAGAGTTTGGCTGAAGTTCCATTGGGGGACATAATCATCTCACCAAAAGTCCTCTGGAAGTTTACTCAAATAAAATCACTCACATGCTTTGCTTGTAAACCCATTGAGCTTTTGAGGCCGGACTGTCATAACAGCTATTAGCAGGCATGTTACCAGTATCACATACGTAAGGAGAATTTCAGGCAATACAAAGGCAGCAGAGGGACCTAGAAGAAAGAGTGAATTGAACCAGAATGAGAAGTGTTAGAAGTGGTTCCTCTGGCTTAGTAATGTCGAATGTCTAATAGAGATCTAGGTGTTAAAGGCACAGAAAGCCAGAGGAGCACCGAATGAGACACCTGCTCTGCTTGGGCCTTCTAGTGTGGGGTGGAATTTATATCCCTGCTTCTCCTTGTTGGCCAGTAGATTTTACCAACAAAAGCCATTGATCAGCTAAGGGAACATTAGATCTAAAATAACCTGTCAAGGTCAATTGACGTGTGTTTGACCATATGCAGTGGAGCTGTAGCCGTGTTGGTCCCAGGATATTAGAAATACAAGGCGGGTGAGGTCATATCTTTCATTGGATTAACTTCTCACCAACAGAAGTTGGTCCAATAAAAGATATGACCTCATCCACCTAGTGTTTGACCATCAGAAAAGCCCAGAACTGGATGGATAAGAAGGCTGAACGTGGCCTTTGTGGTCACCTATAACTGACCCTGCTTGGCCCATCAGCGATGTTTTAATCCAGGTCTAAGCATGAGCCTTTATCACTTGAGCTAAAGGACCCAACCCTCTAGTGGCAAGAAATATCAT